CCTTAAAGCTGTGGCGAAGGTGAGTCTGGGCCCCGCCCCCTAGGCCAGATGGAATTAGCCTGAGGAGGGAGCGGCCTTCCCCAACACTCACGGTGCAGCAGCAGCAGCGATGTCCCAGTGCCTCAATGAGGCCTCTTCAAGCTGTGGCGGAGGTGAGTCTGGGCCCCGCCCCCTAGGCCAGGTGGAATTAGCCTGAGGAGGGAGCGGCCTTCCCCAACACTCACGGTGCAGCAACAGCAAGTGAGGCACTCCAGGTGTATCCTTACTCTTCCTGTGTGTGGCAATCTTTCTGTTGGTGATGTTTCTTCCTGTCCTTGTAAAATGTTCTGTCTATCTTTTCCTGGTTGTTGCTGTTCTCCATCATTCCTTGGGCGGAGCTAATATCCCATTGTGGTTTCAGAAATTCTCCATCGCTCTGTCCTGTGCTTCGTTGTTTGGCAACTTTAACAGCAGCTGGAAAAATCTCACTGTCCCAATAAATAATCAGTTTTTGCCATTTTTCTTCTCTGCCTGGGAAGGAGAGGGATCGGTAAGAACTGCAAATGACTCAGTAATGAACCTTATCAGCTCCTACACAACTTTCAGATTCCTTACATCCCTCTCTCTGGCCTTAGATAAATGCGCATTTATCCAATTAAATTAAATTCCAAGTCCTTTTAGCATTAATCAGTTAAGTCTGTATATAATAAAGGACGGGGAAGAGTCAGCTCTAATTTTCCATCGTAAACATTTTGCAAAATAGAGCTTCCCTCCCTTTTTCCTTTTTGTTTTTACACACACAGTTCCATTTGATGTTATATTCCATATCTGTAATCCAGTTTCATCCCTGCTCACCTGTACATATATATTTTGAACTAGTATCCAATGGCGGACTGCCAATTCATTAGTGTAGAGAAGAAAACTTTATATAAAGAAGCCATAGGCTCCCCTCCCCCCACCCACCGTCTTTTGCACCAAATGAAGTTTATTTTCAAATTCAAACCTTAAAGACCTTGCAGCTGGTTTAATGCCGCAGTTTATGATCTCATCTCTTCCAGCAACGCCTGTACATTAGTCCAAATTGAGCTCTAATTGACAGGAGAACTTCTGCTTCTTAATGGCGGGGAAGGAGGGTTTTCGGCAGGCAAAGGGCTTTTGCACTCAGCGCCTCCCTGCCTCTCGCAATCCATGTCGTAGCCGGAGCCTGGTACCAAGACAAACTGGGAGTCAAGCCCGTTCCCCCCTGTCCCTGGGGGCAACTTGCAAGGAGAATTACCCTCAGTCATCCTTGTTTTTCCTTTGCCAACGATCTCCCGCTGCCTCCATTAAAGCAGAGCGGAACCGGAAGCTAGCAGGGGAGACTTGGATGAAGCCCCATCTGTTCTAAGAGATGCACTGTTTCACCTCTGAGAGAAGCAGGCGCTCACGGTTTCCACTTAACTTTGTCTCTCCCAGGTGACGGAATGATGCCACCAAGACCTGCTCCTTCATCTTTTCATGGTGGTGGAGGGGAGGCAGCAGCTGTGGACCCAGATCAGGTAGGGGGAAGGAGCCTTGTGGGGAAGGACTGCTTGGATGCAGACTGGCTGGACACAGTTGGATGCAGAGGAATGGTGGGAAGAGCCAGAGAAGAGGGAGCTGACTGGGGGGGGGAGGAGGAGGAGGAGGTGTCTGAAGCTGGAGAGGGAAGAGGGCTCAGGGAGCAGAGGGAGTCTGTGGCAGAGAGCAGCCCAGACTCCGAGGCAGAAGCTGCAGCAGGAGAGAGGGATGAGGAAGGCAGAGAGGGGTCTGGCCGCTGTAGACAACAACAGAGCCAAGTGAATGTTCTCTAAGAGGACAGCCTTTTTCCTGTTCTGTTAGGGTCCAGTGTGCTTTGAAGATGTGGCTGTCCATTTCACTGATGAGGAGTGGGCGTTGCTGGATCCTGACCAGAGAGTTCTCCATAAGGAAGTCATGGAGGAGAATCGTGGGATCTTGGACTCTCTCGGTAAGGTTCCCTATTGGATCATCCTATCTGTTTTGTAATTCAAGACCTCTCTATGTGACGAACCTCTGATATTTCAATGGGGCTCAACAGCGCTACCCACAGCACCTGGGATGTTAACACTCCCACAGCAAACCTTGGATGGATGGCTATTGATTCTTTTCCCTGTGAATATTCTTCCTCCAGTTCTGCCGTTTAAAACCATGATCAGGCTGTCTGAACTGCCCAGGCCTTCTTAAATGTAGGATTCAGAGTGATTTGGGATGTTGAAGTAGCTTCAGTCAAGTTTCCTGCTTTTGTTCTTGCTTCTGTCTCTCTCTGGTTGACCAAAGAGTCGCTTGACATTGGAGATGGCACAGATTCCACGACTGAACCAAACAAACTCCATCCCAAAACAGAGCCAGGCTTTTTGAATCTCAGGCAGTGAACTCTGTAGTAACAATAATGATAATATTATTATTTTTACCCTGCCCATCTGACTGGGTGGCCCCAGCCAACAAATAGAAAAACATAATAAAACATCAAACATTAAAAACTTCCCAATACAGAGGTGCCTTCAGAAGTCCTCTAAAAGTTGCATAGTTATTTCCTTGACATCTGATGGGAGGGCGTTCCACAGGGTGGGTTCCCCTACCGAGAAGGCCCTCTGCCTCGTCCCCTGTAACTTCTCACAAAAATGTAACATTTAAGTACAGTGGTACTTCGGGTTAAGAACTTAATTCGTTCTGAAGGTCTGTTCTTAACCTGAAACTGTTCTTAACCTGAAGCACCACTTTAGCTCATGGGGCCTCCTGCTGCTGCTGTTAGTGGAGTCTGTAACCCGAAGCGTATGTAACCTGAAGCATATGTAACCCAAGGTAACACTGTACAGTGGTGCCCCGCAAGACGAATGCCTCGCAAGAGGAAAAACTCGCTAGACGAAAGGGTTTTCCGTTTTTAAGAGTCGCTCCGCAAGACAAATTTCCCTATGGGCTTGCTTCGCAAGACGAAACGTCTTGCGAGTTCTTGCGAGTTTGTTTCCTTTTTCTTAAAGCCTGTAAGCCGTGAAGCCGTTAATAGCCGCTAAGCTGCTAATAGCCGTTAATAGCCGCTAAGCCGCTAAGCCACTAATAGCCGTGCTTCGCAAGATGAAAAAACCGCAAGACGAAGAGACTCGCGGAACGGATTAATTTCATCTTACGAGGCACCACTGTATATCTTAAATTTTGGACAGGGAACTTTCCCGCTTTGGCCACCTTTTAAATACCGTATTTTTCGCTCCATAGGACGCACTTTTTCCGTCTTAAAAACTAAGGGGGAAAGTCTGGGTGTCCTATGGAGCGAATGCAGGGGGGGAGGCAGGCAGGAAAAGCCCCCAAGAGCCACACACAAACTTCTTGCGGGCTTTTCCTCGTGGCCAGTCAGTCCCTTCTCCCTCCTGGGGAAAAGCCTTGCGCAATCTCTCCAGCCGGGGGAAAGGCTGCGCAAGGCTAAAAAGGAAGCCAGGGCAGCGAGCACGATCCATCCTCTTTAGCCTTGCGCGCCTCTCCAGCCGCGGGAGGCTGAGCGAGGCTAAAGAAGCCAACTTTTTAAAAATCTCTCTATCTCTACCTCTTTTTCTTTTTCCGTCCTTTCTCCACCCCCTTCTTTTCCTCTGGATCAGTGTTTTTATCTATCATTTTAGTTTGAAGGGGGGGATATTATAAAAGAGGAAACTTTGCAGCTTTTATTTTGGTATACAATAAAAACAGATTAAACAAAACTCAAAAGAAGGAAATAACATAGAAGAGAAAAGGGAAAGAGGGGGGATACAAAGCCATTTACCAGAGGTAGATCTTAACCCTTGCCTCACCTGGGAGCTTCTCTGGGCAGGTATTCCCTCGGCTTAAGTGGGGTAGGGGAAGAGTGGCAGGTAGGGGGGTACCTACCTAGACACTGAAGCCACATGTCTCTCCGATGAAAATTGGGAGTGGGCATTGTGTGAAGTGGCTGTGGATCTCCTGCCGCAGAATTGTAGGACTGTATACATTTGGGAGGGCCACCCGAGGGCCATCTAGCCCAGCCCCCTCACAATGTAGGAATCACAGCTAAAGAACGCCAGGCAGATGGTCCCCCAACCGCTGCTTAAAAGCCTCCAGTGGTGGAGACCCCCAACACTTTCCATGGTCATAGAATTGCAGGGTTGGAAGGGAACCCCAGGAGTCATCTAATCCACCCCATTGCGCAAGGCTAAAGATGCTGTGCAAGGCTAAAGAGGAAGCCAAGGCAGCGAGCGGGATGGATCGCACTTGCTGCCTTGTCTTCTTCTTTAGCCGCGCTGGAGAGGTTTAGCTCCTGGCTGGAGAGGTTGCGTGGCTATGGATCCCGCTTGCTGTCTTGGTTTCTTTGCTCTTTGGGACTGGGGGGGGGAACCCGGGCTTCCCCCGCAGCCCCGAGAAGCTCTGGGAGAAGCGGACAGGCTGTGTGCATCGTGTCCGTGGCTCTTTGGGGCTGGGGGGGGAATAATATTCTTCCCCTTGATTTCCCCCTCTAAAAACTAGGTGCGTCCTGTGGTCCGGTGCGTCCAATAGAGCGAAAAATATGGTAATAATAAAAGCACATTTTATTTAAGAAGATAGTATAGATCCATATTTAAATTTTAACAAAATGACATTACCAGGTCAAGCTGTACTTTTAAAAACTAGAGAGAGAAAACATATAATAATCAACTTGATTTGTATACGAAACTAGACGTTTTGCAGAACAAAAGGAACATTATAACATCTAACTCCCTTCAGTTCTTCGCCTCTCCCAAGCATTAATTAGCATTGTTCCATAATTTGGGGCTGCACTTCTTCCCGAGACTCTAATCCGTTTGCCTCTTAGTTTCAGGTGGCGATGAATTGGAAATGAAGAACAAGGGAGACCACAACGAAATCCATACAGTGGAGGAGCCAAATCAGGATTCAGACTGTGGAGAGAGCTTCAGTCAGAGCTCCCATGCCACTTCCCATCAAAGAAATCCCCTTGAAAAGAAACACTATCAGTGCTTGGAATGTGGAAAGAACTTCAATCAGAGGGCGAAGCTCACTTCCCATCAAAGAATTCATACAGGGGAGAAACCCTATCAGTGCTTGGAGTGTGGAAAGAGCTTCACTGCTAGCTCCTCTCTCACCTCCCATCAAAGTATTCATAAAGGGGAGAAACCCTATCAGTGCGTGGAATGTGGAAAAAGCTTCAGGACGAGATTTGAACTCACTTCCCATCAAAGGATTCATACAGGGGAGAAACCCTATCAGTGCGCGGAATGTGGAAAGAGCTTCACCTGGAAAATAAGCTTCACTTCCCATCAAAGAATTCATACAGGGGAAAACCCCTATCAGTGTCTGGAATGTGGAAAGAGCTTCAATCAGAGGGCCCATCTCACTTCCCATCAAAGAATTCATACAGGGGAGAAACCCTATCAGTGTGTGGAGTGTGGAAAGAGCTTCAGGACGAGCTTTGAACTGACTTTGCATCAAAGGATTCATACAGGGGAGAAACCCTATCACTGCTTGGAGTGTGGTAAGGGCTTCACTGCTAGCTCCTCTCTCACGTCCCATCAAAGGATTCATACAGGGGAGAAACCCTATCAGTGTGTGGAGTGTGGAAAGAGCTTCACTGCTAGCTCCTCTCTCACTTCCCATCAAAGAAATCATACAGGGGAGAAACCCTTTCAGTGCGTAGAATGTGGAAAGAGCTTCAATCAGAGGGCCCATCTCACTTCCCATCAAAGGATTCATACAGGGGAGAAACCCTTTCAGTGCGTGGAATGTGGAAAAAGCTTCACTCGGAGTGCCAATTTCACTTCCCATCAAAGGATTCATACAGGGGAGAAACTCTATCAGTGCGTGGAATGTGGAAAGAGCTTCAGGACGAGCTTTGAACTCACTTTGCATCAAAGGATTCATACAGGGGAGAAACCCTATCACTGCTTGGAGTCTGGAAAGAGCTTCACCCAGAGTGCCAATCTCACTTCCCATCAAGGGATTCATACAGGGGAGAAACCCTATCAGTGCGTGGAATGTGGAAAGCGCTTCACTGATAGCTCCTCTCTCACTTCCCATGAAAGAAATCATACAGGGGATAAACCCTGTCAATGCGTAGAATGTGGAAAGAGCTTCAATCAGAGGGCCCATCTCACTTCCCATCAAAGGATTCATACAGGGGAGAAACCCTATCAGTGCGTAGAATGTGGAAAAAGCTTCAGGACGAGCTTTAAACTCACTTTGCATCAAAGGATTCATACAGGGGAGAAACCCTATCACTGCTTGGACTGTGGAAAGAGCTTCAGTGACAGGCACAATCTCACTTCCCATCGTAGAATTCATACAGGGGAGAAACCCTATCAGTGCGTGGAATGTGGAAAGAGCTTCAGTCACAGGTACAATCTCACTTCCCATCAAAGGATTCATACAGGGGAGAAACCCTATCACTGCTTGGAGTGTGGAAAGAGCTTCACCTCTAGCTCCTCTCTCACCTCCCATCAAAGGATTCATACAGGAGAGAAACCCTTTCAGTGCGTAGAATGTGGAAAGAGCTTCACTCGGAGTGCCTATCTCACTTCCCATCAAAGGATTCATACAGGGGAGAAACCCTTTCAGTGCGTGGAATGTGGAAAGAGCTTCAATCGGAGTGCCTATCTCACTTCCCATCAAAGGATTCATACAGGGGAGAAACCCTTTCAGTGTGTGGAATGTGGAAAGAGCTTCACCAGGAAAGAAAGTCTCACAGCCCATCACAAAATCCACACGGGAAAAACCCTAACAGTGCGTGGAATGTGGAAAGAGCTTCAGTCAAAGCAACAATCTCATTTCCCATCAGAGAATTCACACAGGGTAGAAACTATTTCAGTGCCAAGAGTGTGATAGGAGGGATTTATGAAAGTTTGGTCTCATTTTTAAAGTTCTTAACACAATTGGAGCTCTTAAAAGGACTTAGAGCTCCCTGAAAAAGCTAAAATTAAGACAGGTTTGCGCTCTTGACTATGCTACCACTCAGTGGATTTGTAACTGGCTGACTGACCAAACCCAAAAGGTGCTCATCAATGGTTCCTCTTCATCCTGGAGAAGAGTGACTAGTGGGGTGCCACAGAGTTCTGTCTTGGCCCCAGTCTTTTTCAACATCTTTATCAACGACTTGGATGATGGACTCAAGGGCATCCTGATCAAATTTGCAGATGACAGCAAACTGGGAGAGGTGGCTAACACCCCAGAGGACAGGATCACACTTCAAAACGACCTTGACAGATTAGAGAACTGGGCCAAAACAAACAAGATGAACTTTAACAGGGAGAAATGTAAAGTATTGCACTTGGGCAAAAAAATAATGAGAGGCACAAATACAAGATGGGTGACACCTGGCTTGAGAGCAGTACATGTGAAAAGGATCTAGGAGTCTTGGTTGACCACAAACTTGACATGAGCCAACAGTGTGACGCGGCAGCTAGAAAAGCCACGGCAATTCTGGGCTGCATCAATAGGAGTATAGCATCTAGATCAAGGGAAGTAATAGTGCCACTGTATTCTGCTCTGGTCAGACCTCACCTGGAGTACTGTGTCCAGTTCTGGGCACCACAATTCAAGAAGGACACTGACAAACTGGAACGTGTCTAGAGGAGGGCAACCAAAATGGTCAAAGGCCTGGAAACGATGCCTTATGAGGAACGGCTAAGGGAGCTGGGCATGTTTAGCCTGGAGAAGAGGAGGTTAAGGGGTGATATGATAGCCATGTTCAAATATAGAAAAGGATGTCACATAGAGGAGGGAGAAAGGCTGTTTTCTGCTGCTCCAGAGAAGCGGACACGGAGCAATGGATCCAAACTACAAGAAAGAAGATTCCACCTAAACATTAGGAAGAACTTCCTGACAGTAAGAGCTGTTCGACAGTGGAATTTGCTGCCAAGGAGTGTGGTGGAGTCTCCTTCTTTGGAGGTCTTTAAGCAGAGGCTTGACAACCATATGTCAGGAGTGCTCTGATGGTGTTTCCTGCTTGGCAGGGGGTTGGACTTGATGGCCCTTGTGATCTATTCCAACTCTATGATTCTATGATTCTATAAGTTCGTTTCTCTTTGAAGGATAATATTTCTTCTACTCTGAGCCACTTAAAGAGAATTGGATTCCTGCAAGACAACCACTCTTATCTGGACACCTAAATTGCTAGGTCCTCCTGGACACATTCTTTCTTTTTTCTGTTTTATGGTTCCTCTCTTAAAGTAGTTATTTGCTTTATTTGTTTAATTCAAATCTTAATTTGAGAAATTGGATTTTATGTTAAACTGCTTATGTGTGTTGGGAATCAGGCTGGAAGGAAGAGGGAGGGCTGGAAAAATGCAGGTAACAGGATCTCTTGGGAAAGAGTTATTCTGTGACCTTGACAAACTGATAAGGTGCTGCTGGAAAATAAGCTGCTTTGAGAACAAGGGAGAGGGAGATTTTGAATATGGCAGTTAAAAAACAGTTAACACCAGGCCTGTATTAAATCTGGAGAAGCTATTAGCCAGAATTAATAAAAATCATTAAATGGTTACTAATTTGACCACTAAAGCAGAGACACTGACAAAGGAAACAGAAGCACTAGATATCTCCATGAAAGGAAGGGAGGAGAAGTCTGAAAAGCTGGAAAAGAAAACAAAAAATGGAAATCAGAACAGGAGACGCTTAGGATTGATGTGGACGGTTTGCGTGGAAGATAAGAGGCAATTGCGGGCGCTTTGGCGGTTCTTGAGATGAGACAGAAAGCCCAGCCTCTGAGACGGAGAGGAGGGAGGAGAGCAGGATTTTTTTAGTTTGAGCAGAGTGGCTGGGAGTGGAAGAGGAATTCATGGAAGAGGCGCCACCCTCCTCACAGCCAGGGGTGGTGGTTTTTGGGTAGAAAACAAATGTGAATTAATCCCCCCTGGCCGGTCTTCCTGTCTCCCTTTCCTTGTGCCCCCACTCTGCCCAAATCAAAGTCCCAGCCAGCAGCTGCCCCCCAGGCCTTCCTCCGTTCATCTTGGGGACTCAAGGCATGCGGGCAGAATTTGGTGGGGGGCCAGGCTGGGCTCAGAGGTCTGCTTTCCTCTCCTTGCACTGGGAAGCTTGTCTACTAACTAATGGATAAAGGGTTGTTTGGAAGACTAAGCCATCTCTACCTCCCACCCTGTTTTGAAATAAAGCCTATTTAAGAATTGGGGACACGGAGGAAGGAGATTGTTATGTACTAAGCTTGGATCCTAGAACAATAGGCAAGTAGGATCCTAGAATGCAACAACTGATTGGCTTGCAGGAAAAGACCAATCAGCCTCCAGGAGGGAAGCAGAATCTGTTAGGATATTTCCGTTCCTCCTTAAAAAAGGGAACAGGCTGTTGGGTGTCACATGCCTGCTAACTTCCTGCTCACTGGGCGTTTCCGTTTTGTATATAGCTTTTGTTCTGGCTGTTTTCCTTGCCATGGATGCAAGCAGTCGTGTTTTTCCTTTGTTCTGACCAACGTTGAATAAAGCTGTAAATATGCTCTCCTGGGTGAATCTTCCGTTGTGGAAATTCTGCGAGAAAGGCGTGCATGAGTCTTGGAATGCGTCTGAGGGTCGTGTCGCTAATTGACTGATGCGAATCCAATGGGAGACCAGAGATCGTCCGGAGATGACGTGGAGGCCTGATGCCTCTGTCTCCCTGGCAGTATCCCAACAGAAGCAGCCAATCAGACGGGACTCATTGTGTAAATAATGTATATAAAAGTCTAAGGTTTGGGGGGCAATTAAATCACTGTTTTACAAACTGCAATAAAGAGCATGAAATCACTACAGGACTCCGAATATATTTCACTGGCGATGAAGGTGGGATCCTGCTGAGCTGTCAACCTTCTTCAGCATCTGTGGAGAAGAAACATTCAAGATCGCCCAAGCCCTCCTCGCTCCCACAAATATTGCGACCGTTCCCTATGACACGATAATAGAACAGCTGAAGGGGCACTTCTCGCAACAACCCTCGGGGGTAACGTGTCGAAATACCTTCTAGGCAAAGCGGCAGGTCTCCGGAGAAACCATAACCGGGAATGTGACCTCCCTCCGCCAGGCTGCCCGGCTCTGCAACTTCACAGAGCTGGAGAACATTCTCTGCGACTGTCTCGTGGGCGGCCTGAGGGACGAGAAGCTGCAGTGGTGCCTCTACACCAAGAAGGACCTGACGTTCCAGGCTGCCCTAGAGGAGGCTTTAGCAACTGAAGCTGCTGAGAGGTCAGCGCAAGAATTCCAGTCAAACATGTCGTCCCAACCAAGGATCCACCATGAGGACCTCACCGACGACTCAGAATCCTACCAGGAGGACGTGCACTGAGTGCAGCAGCGCACATAAGCTGCATGCCCACCACGACAGCCTCGTCCGGAAGACGGGAATTGTGCAAGTTCCAGGGAGAGCCACGAGCAGAGGACTTGCCATTTCCCAACGCAGAATGCTGACAGTGCAGAAAAGTGGGACACATCGCCCGGGTGTGCCGTGCCTGCCATGCCCAATGCCTCGAACCAGATAGCCGACCCAAGAGTCCCAAGGTAACTCAACGAAGATCACAGACTGTCAGGTATACCAGTTGCCTCATTCTAATGCGGACAAAATTTACATCGAGGCACAGATAGAGGCAGCCCCGTGCCGCCTGGAGCTTGATACAGGCTCAACCCTGTCCATAATCTTGGCATGGACATTAAGGAATTGTGTCCCAGTGGCGGCTCCAAGTTTGGCCAGCCCCATTCACCCTCCGGGAGACTTCCACAAATGCAAGGTCCCCACAATGGGGGTGGGAACCTTCAATGTACAATATCGAGGGCAGAGGTGGCAGTTGGACTTGATCGTGGCCAAGGGGCGCTACGTTAGCTTACTGGGGTTGGCGTGGTTTGGGCCACTGGGGCTAGCCATCACCGGGGTGAACCGCACCAGCTCCCACGTGGACGTGGACGCCATGTGCAAAGAGTTTCCAGAGGTTTTCGATGGGGCATTGGGGTGATATACTGCCCTGCCCCTCCGTTGGCCTACAACTAGACCCCGCCATACGACCCATCAAGTTCAAGGCGACCCATCAAGTTCAGGTCCCATTCGCCCTCAAAACCCCGCATTGGCGAGGAATTAGACTGGCTTGTGGAGCAAGGAGTGCTCTAGCCCATGCCTAATGCCCCCGAGAAACCCCAACCATCACACCCATCAAGCCCAATGGCTCAGTCCACATCTGCGCAGACTACAAATGTACCATAAACAAGGCCCTTACAGCTCATGCATACCCGGTGCCAATGGTCAGCCATGTCCTTGCCACCCTGGCGGGGTCTAAGAGTCCACCTGACTGGGGACAAGGTGAGGACTATTTGCGACGCCCCTGCACCTAAGGGTAAGGCAGAACTCCAAGCCTTCTTGGGACTATTGAACTTCCGGATGATTCCTGGGGGGAAACTGCAAGGAGGGCTGGACAGAGGAATCCCAAGGGGATAGCAGAAGGGTGAGGCCCATAGAGCAGGAGGAGCGGGTAAGGGAGGCAGAACTAGGAAGTCCAGAAGTGACCGAGGCTGAGCAGCCACAGGAACCAGAACCACAACCGAGTGGACCAGCGGCATCCAACCCAACGACCCTGTCACAGCCGGCAGCCCTGGAACAAGAGCCAGAACCAGGAACCCCTACCGAGAGACACCCAAGACCACAAGGCATACGTAGGTGACCGGAATACCTCAACGACTAGGAATGCTAACCTTCCGGGCGCAACAGGAACGTAGAGGGGAGGGGGGTTATGTACTAAGCTTGGAGCCTAGAAAAAAAGGCAAGTAGGATCCAAGAATGCAACAACTGATTGGCCTGCAGGAAAAGACCAATCAGGCTCCAGGAGGGAAGCAGAATCCGCCAATCAGACGGGACTCATTGTGTAAATAATGTATATAACAGCCTGAGGTTTGGGGGCAATTAAATCACTGTTTTACAAGCTGCAATAAAGAGCATGAAATTACTACAGGACTCCTGAGTAGATTTCAGAGAATCTAATGCATCTTTGGTTGGGATTGTCCAGCAAGGAGATTGGAGATGGTTGCCAGTCAAAGGGTAGTTTAAGACGCAGGGCGGGAAAGACCTCCTTGTGAAAGGGGGGGGGCAGTTTTGGGAGAGATTCCAGTCATGGCATTGGCAGCCAGATGAGGAATCCTGGAAGAGGACACTCCAGGCTCATCTAGTCGAACCCCTGCAATTCAGGAACCCCGGTTCTTA